TACGCTGAATGATACAATACTTAAGAAGCGAACTAGACTCAGGATCGTCGCACTAGTGGTGGTGGTAACGATCATAGTAGTATGTTGCTCTGCTTTCTTATGGCGACTGCTGCGACCACAGTAAGTTGAGTGCTAGCAAAAGGGTTGCATAAAATGTATCATAAACTATAGAGGATTGCTCCTCGGGATGACAGTGGCTGAAAACAGAAACAACAGTTCAGTTCTTCCACAAGTGGTGGAACCTGAGACACATCAACAATCCCAAGTTTCTGCAACAACGAGCGCTCTCGAAGTGAGCGGAAAAAGTCCAACACATCAGACTGTTTCTGTTCAGACTGGTAATATTTTCTTATTTTACTGTTAAAGTCTAGGAGATGAACAGAATGTGTTTTCTTTCATGCTTTGTCAGGAGTTGCTTAGCACTTTTCTTTCGTTCCACTTTCCCAATGTCAATATCCTACAGCATGAGTACTTCCTATGAACGTTCATCAAATGCAGATACGGTAGTTCATCACTTTATCAGTTCATTATTCTCAGTGAGATTGGTAATTCTAAGGATATATTTTGTTTTTAAAATAGTATTGTTTTGGATTTGTCGGTGAAATGGCGCATCTTTTATCATGAGCATTCTCTTCTTAGAAAATTTTGTTAGACTTCTTATTTGAAACGAAAAAGTGCATTCAAGAAGAATCATCGTTCGGTCGCACAGAAATCAAAAGTGACTGAAAAACTAGTTCCTATAATCATGACCATTTTAAGTACCAATCAATTGCTCACAGAATTGATTGACATATTCTTCTATATATACGAAACGTGAAGAATTTTCAATCCAACAGAGCAATAATTGTGTGAAAAATTGCATTCGAAATGAAGAAAAAAAATGCAAAATACTATTCATTAACTATCTCTAAGCTTTATATCTTTGTAAGATTCATCTCCATTCACAGCTTCCGTGGAGAAAATGTTTAGCATCCTATTTTTCGGAATTTCAGTCGATTATCTTGGCTATCATAAATGCTGCAGGTCTGAAAAATATGTGTACACATACACTTCGCTAAGAATGTAGATCAGAGGCAGGAGCTCATCCAGATTGGCTAAATACAACGAGAATTAGGACGGATGGTTATGCAGATTGCATGTTTATCGTATTAGCTTCACGACTCTGACAAAGAGGGATTGGGGATGGTTCACTATTTTTTCATTATCTAGTACTCTTTTTCAGTTATCAACCGCACTTATATTCTCGAAGTTCATCAACCCTTTCTAGAAATGTGGCTATTTTTCCAAGAACAATGCGGGTGGCGAAAAACTATCTGCTGACTTTTGGAGACCATAACTTTGTAAAAGTTCGGTGAAATAAATGTAAACTAAATTTCTCTTATGACAGCCAAAACTCTCCCGAACATATTCGGATTCAAGCAAAACCATGCAACCGAGCAATCTATATATATATATATATCAAAATTCTGTGCTCTCACATAATTTGTGATTGACCGTATGACTTATTTCCTTGAGAATGTCTCAGAAAATGGCAGACCATGTTTTCTAGCAAATCGGACTGCAGGTTTGACAACGAAGCATCTTCTCTTTAGAAGACATTTCTCGGCGAGTTTTTTAAATACAGGACCGAACAAAGATGCCAGTGGTATGAAAATAGAAGTGTTAGACTAGAGTCTTGATTTGACAGGAGTTGGCATCAAATGTACTATTTTCATCTTCAGTTTCGAATACCCCAATGACGCCGGGTGACGTTGATATTTGCGCAAGTGCAACGTGGGCAACAGACGGTGTGACAGTTGCAGGTGGTCAAGGGATAGGGTCAGACTTGAATCAACTTACCTATCCTCGTGGAGCTTTCGTGGACGACACTGGAGCAATTTACGTTACGGATGATAATCTTCGAGTGGTGAAATGGGAGCATGGAGCAACAAGCGGTGTTATCCTTGCTGGGTTCGGCGGCAAGGGTAGCGGTAACGACCAATTTGAATATTATTTGCACAATCTTGCTGTAGATGCTGAAGGAACAATGTTCATATGCGATAAAGGAAACGAACGAGTTGTACGATGGAAAAAGAATGCAAAAAGTGGTCAGAGCATTATCTCGAATATCAACTGCTTTGGAGTGGCTTTGGATCATGAGGGATTATTGTATGTATCCGATCTCAACAACCATCTTGTGCTGAAGTATAATGCCGATTTCTCCCATAGTGAAGTGGTTGCAGGCGGTAACGGAGGAGGTGCAGCACTGAATCAATTGAATCGACCCCATTTTGCTTTTGTCGATCATAATTTCAATATATTTGTACCAGACACAGACAATCATCGAGTAATGAAATGGCAAAGAGGTTCTAAAGAGGGCATTGTTGTGAGTGGAAGCGAGAATTCGCATCAACTTAGCGGACCACATGCCGTTGTTGTGGACAAGATCGGCAATATTTATGTTGTTGACCATGATTTACATCGGGTCATGCGCTGGTTGAAAGGTGCACAATCAGGTAATCTTCTCTTTGGAGGAAACGGATATGGGAATCAAGCCAATCAGCTTGCGTTTCCTATCGATATAGACTTCGATCGAAATGGCAATTTGTATATTACTGATCGCAACAACCATCGCATTCAAATGTACCGTATTAATAAAACATCGTGTCTATCATCATCCGTTCTTAATGTATAACTGCTGCATTGATCAGCAATGATCCATTGATATAAGTACACATTGAACTTTGGTTCATCAAGTGATACCAACGATTTACATATTTTTTACGCTATTCTAAAATAAATGAAGGAATTTTATTTATTAATATTTGTATCTGAATGTTTGATTTCATGAATCAGTAATATCATCGGAGTTTTGCTTCGATCTGACAAATAGTTAACTGATTTTAACAAGATTCAACGATTGTAGTACGCTATTATTAGCAAGCGAACAGGTACCAATCCTCGACATATTTTTCTTCTTAAATTTCAATACCTATCTTCTACAATCACAAAAATAAGATAAGACGCAAACGAAGAAAGTCTGCTTTTGAATTCATCGGTATATAGCGAATATATAATCGATTCCAAGGAAGATGTCGGTTTGCGGCGTAGATGAGTCTCAAAATAATACGATACATACGCCAATAAAGAAAATGGAACTTTCCGACTTTACAATGAGAGAATTTTACTTGGTGTCACAGACGAAGAAATGGTGAAACTTATGACGAAACACACAAAAATTATAAATGTACTTAATTAGAGAATGCTAAAACATGACCCAGCCAACAAGTATTTATTTTACAGCTGCTGATTTTTGTTCAATGACTTCTATTCAAACGGGTAGCATTCGATACACACTAAAATTTCGAGCCTAATGCAAGCATTTAGAGAGTAAATAAAAATCAGGAAGCAAATCCATACAAAGTTTACTGCTGAAGGTGGATCAGATATCCTGTAAATGAGACCAGATGCTTGGTTTTTTCACAATGACCACCATTGACAATAGTATCATTCGATAGAGAATAAAATTCTACTTCTCACATCACCAACTAGATAGTTAACATAGATTAGGAAACAAATTAGGACAGATAATCAATAGTAACCAATTGAGT